CTTGATGGCTGGAGCTCACCAAGACAGAAAAATAACATCACTCGCATGTGTGTTCATGATTTTTGAAACATGCATTTGTGCATATTTGCTTTGTCCAGCATGCGCAAAAACCCCCGTGACAGGAACTTCCACTAGAAACCACATTTCAATGGGATAAATCAGCAAATTCAGTGTCAGTTTCTTTCTGTTACTCAACAGCTATATAAAGAAACTATATCTTGATATTTTTTAGCCTTTTGACATTATTCAACATAAATCTCAAACATATTTACGGTACAATTTTTTTTTTAATTTACAAAATTCTTTGTGATAAATGAAATGTCACCAAAATCACCACTAATATTTTCAGTCCTCAATATATCACCCAGTCCTCCACACATACACACATTCAAACCCCCACGTGACAGTGAGCTGAACTTTCACATGATCGTCAGTGGCAGTGGTTCAGAAGTGCTTTAGCTCAGAGATCCTCAGAGAACAGCACTCAGCTCCTGACAGTGAGGTCCTTCAGATCCTCTGTCCCTCCCGCAGCACGGCCTGACCCTTCTCAATATTCACTAGGGTCTTTGTGGTAATCAAGCGGCTCTCAGAAGCTCAGCTTATCTCCACAGTCCCGGTCTCTGCTCTCATTCTCTCGTTCGCTTCAGCAGCAGCAGGTAATGACAAAGGAACTGTCTCTGCTGCACGTGTGAATGAAGCGAAGTGCTCACATCAAACCGAGCTGCTTCCTCTTGCCAAAACCTCAAGCCTCTTTTAAGGCAGCTCTATTGTTTCGCCTCAGAGTCGGTGATGGTGACAGGGATCTTTCTTTGTGCCGTCATACAATGAAGTACTGTTTTTGCCCAAAAGACTGCCAACTCATAAGAAAGCTACTATAAACCTGCCGTAATTTTCGGAGACGGCACGTGTGAACTTCGGTTGAAGTGTGTGATTTCTGCGCTGCTAGTCCCAGCACAAACTCATGCTGCGCTTGAGCCAGAGTTTCACCTGGTGAACGATAAAACAGGTGAAAAAAACTTACACTGAGAGAGGGAATCAAGCAGAGGACCAGACTTGATGGGGAGACTCTTCTGATGTATACTAGTAAACAGTCACTTAGCAACCACCCAGAACACCCTAGCAACTGCCTAGTAACCACCCAGAACACCCTAGCAAATGAGGATTATGCATCATTCTGAATTTAACATCCGTTAAATTCCAAATCAGTTCCTGAATGTTAATTAAGGCAAACAGGATGAAGAATTGCAATTTGAATTTGAATGTAATGAAGTAGACAAACCTGAAACAAAAAACAATTTTTCAGTTGAAGACAATTTTGAATTATGGTCTGACAATGACTTGTTTGAATGTTTTCAAAATTTGTTTTTGATAACCTTATAAAAATATGTAAAGGCCTTACAGAGATATGTAAAACAATACAATGATAGATAGATAGATAGATTTTGCTATGTAATGTTTCAAGGCACTTGATTGTAGAGCTTCTGTTTAAATGTCAAAGGCTTATGGATCTCAGGAGAGTGAAGTGATCAGACTGACAGCTCAATATTCCTCTGGTCAGTCATGTGACACGTTTGATTGGTCAGCAGAGGACAGACTAGTGCCTTATATCGATTATTTCTACAGACAGTGTGAGTGTGTGCTTGAGACAGAATAGGCACTCATGCTGAATAAAACATGAAATTGAAGAAGAGAGTCTGATGTGACAGATACACACACACACACACACACACAGAGAGAGAGAGAGAGAGAGACTCGGAGGGTTGCAGGACAGCGTGGGAATTAGTTGTTCTAAAGCTGCAGTTCAGAGTCCTTTTAAATGCCTTTAATCCATCTGATTGAACACTAAAACCAGCTTCTAACATGATCCAACACACGCTTCACCAAACTCACTCCAATCATCACAGACTGAGACCCTCACAGGATACTGGATACCAAACTGCCTGCAACAACACTAATAAAATGTGCAAAAATTAACAAGATTTTCACATTATTCCTTTAATGTACATTTTCAGTAAGCATGTATCTGGGATCTTTTTAATGAATAATTTCAATAAATTAAAATATAAATAATAAATCATATAAAACTGGTGTTAAAAATGTCACATTGGCAACTAATTGATAATTCAAGTTGAAGCCCTGAAATTGCTAACTGGAAATAAATAAAAAATTTAATTAAAACAAAATTTAAATAATATATTAAACTTATAATAATAATAATAATAATAATAATAATAAATTAACCTAATAACAACAACAACAAAAACACAAAAATTATACAAATTAAATGTCAAATTTAAATAAAAATTGAAAAAATAAATCTTGAAAAAGCTGTCTTAATATTATCAGAAACAACAATAGCATATAAATAATAAGATATAAAAACGTATAAACATATAACATAAAAAAACCCCCACAAAAAAATCCAGCACTGAAAAAAATGTGTGAAACAATTTTCACTGAGAAATTGCTAGTTAATTTCACAAATAACTACAATAAACGGCAAGTAACACATTGAATTAAACATGAAATTTCTAACATAGAAATACTTAAATTTACTACTTCAAAATGTATTAATTTTTTTTACATTGTATATGGAGTGCTACCTGCTAGGGCATGCACACGCGCATGCACGCTCCCCATAAACCACATAAACATGCACACACACACACACACACACACACAAAATGCTCCACTGTGCATTTTATTTGCACCACATCTAGTGACAAATGGGAAGGGCATTAAGTTGTTGAGGCTGGAGAGCCGGAGTGATCCATCAGAATAGTCCTGAAATGCAAACACTCGGAGCAGCGGTGGATTGCATAAATCTTCCTCAGAGCCGAGCGCAACAGACACACAGAGAGAGCAAGTGTGTTAACCTCCGACAGACATGCAGTGCTGCATCACAATTGCACAGGTGAACTCATGC